GTATGTTATGAGAAATTATAAACGACGTATGCTGAAGTTATATTCATAAATTATAGCTTTACTGAAGATTATTTTTGCTGATAATGCCTTTTCCAATGCGCTTTTTTAATGCTCAAGAGATTCTTCTAATCGACATTTAATGGCTGCAATGTATCCATTTAATGTTTCATCATTCAAAGAATCATAATACGTATTATTTTAAAAATTAAATCATTACATTTTATGGCTAAACATAGGACAAATGTATTAGAAATCAGAGTTGAACTCTTCGAACCAAGCCTTGCTACTGCAGTTTCTATAAACAAAGATCATTTTTATACCTTAAACGCGAACGAAATCGTTAAGCAATTAATATTAATGTTTCATTCTGAAGTGCTTGTAAACTTCTGGGAGTTAATCCCGAATTGCTGTTTTATCTATCTCTCAGTTAAGAACAAAATGTAATTAGGTGCGTCCACTGAGCTACTAATCGCAAAATTTATATCCATTGATCACGATAATGGATGACTTTGATATAAGTTCACTTCGATTTTTATGCCACTGAATGCTAGTACAGGCATACATCACATATTCTGAAATTTATTTAGTTCCAAGTTATAAAATGTAATGTAATGGAAAATTTTCAATTAATGAATAATTAATTGGGTTATTTAAATTATTCAATAAAATGATTAATAATTTTCGAAGAATTCACTTATTGAATAAGAGTGCAAACATTTTGGAATACAAAGTCTGTAAAGATATATTAATAATTTATTTAATATTTATTAATTTAGTAATTATATTGTTAATTATTAATATTACGACTATTAGTAATGACTAAAAGTGTTCATTAATATACCAATTATCACATAACTAATTTATTTTGATATATTATTATTATAGACTAATGTTATTAATTTTTATTAGAATAGATGCATTAATTAGTGCTTGGTAAATATTGTGAAGAAGTTTAAAAAAATTACTTTTCTTTGAACCACTAGACAAATGAATATTAGACAACTGAAATACTAGACAACTGAAGCCTACTTTTTTAAGAACTGACTATCACACATTTATATATCGGTTGTGTAGAGATGCAATACACAGAGGTTTCATTTCTAGATTTATAAATTGTGTTAGGTGTGCAACAACTTTATAAATAGTTTTGATATAATCGAATGTAATAACAAAGCGTACTGCAGAGCATAAGAGTAAACTGAAAACTGCTGCCAGTTATAATGTTAGTTTGCATTATGTTGTCGTTATGTTATTATGTTATTTTGCATGTTAGATAGGTGTTTTATATTCTACTTATGTTGTTTTGTAAAAAGAGATTAATTCAAATTTGAAAATTCTTTTGAAATTTAGAGCAGATTTCGTACAGAGAATTGTTAACAAGTCTGTCTTTGTAAGTTAAGACAAAAACTCGGTAACTATACAAGGCAATGGACTAGAACCAACAGTGTTTTTAACGATGGCTAGACATATGAAACGGACGAAAGAGGAACATCATTAGTGTGCAAAAAAGGAATAGGAGTCATAGGAAAGAAAAGCATAACGTCATAGGTGGAAAGTTTAAGGAAGGGATTATGTCTATGCGTCAAGAAATTGTGTTACAATGCTTGGGTAACAGACAAATATTAATTTTGATTTAAAGTCTATTGGGAGCTTTAGCACTGAAGAATCTGGGCTCTTTCAAAAACTAATGCTTGTCAGAGTATTGAAATTTGGAGACAAAAGGTATGCCGGTGATATAAATTCGAACCAGAGCTTAATACTATGAGTAGGGTGTAACATGTCAAGTTTAGAGAAAAATAAACTAGTGCTAACAAAAGGACGTAAAAATTTCAGTTATTTTGAAAACGCCTTGCGAATCTAAATGAATTATTAATATAACAATGAAATCTGAATGCCATTTTATTACATTGTATTTCGGAATGAAAGATAGTAATAAAAATGTCACAATTCTTTGGAAAGCTGAAAGAATTTTCTCAGACTTTATAGCAGTTTGAACACATGTATATATACTGCTTACTAAAATTAAGGGAGAACGTGATTCATTGATAACAGACAACTGCTGGTAAATAGGTAATGCAACGTTGAAACATGTCTTGGAAACTGATAAGAAAATAAAGAACCTAACAACAACATCGTCTTTTAATTAAAACAAACATTTGATTTTCTCGTGCCCTACATTTGATGGCCCTAGATTATGCTTACAGAACGATTTGAAAATGTTCGGAGTGACTTGGCCAGTGAACTTATCTGTTTTCGTGAAGTCCAGACTGCTGTTCTCTGTTTTTGTTCGCTTTATTTATGCATGTAACTTTTAATGTTTATTTATACATGTAACCTTTAATGTTCTAGTTAACTTACTTCTGTAAGCCCCGTGTTGTACATATGTGGTGCACGGGGAGTCTGTATGTTCTCAAAGGAAAAAAAAAAAAAAAAATCAGATGTTTCTTATCATTTTGCACGTTAAATGTAAATGAAACTGGAATTAATTTCGAAACTTTACATTGCATTTTAATAGAAGAATATTTCTCTTCCTAATGAAAAAATTATGAAATAACTGAATTTTCATCAAACTTGAGAGCCCACCAGCGGCCGAGCGGTAAAGTCGCTGAACACTGGTAGTTCGGTCGCGAGGTTCGAATCCCGCGAACGGTCTGTCTGCATGGGCGTTTTTGTGGTTTTCTCCATGTGTAACGTGCATACGAGCCAGTTTACCTTAGAAAGTCCTCCACGAAAGGCATCTCTCCCTTTAGGCAGATAGCCCCCGAGGCTTTGCCATAATCACACACACATCAAACTTGAGAATTACAGTTGCGTGCGTATCTAGACCTTATAAAAAGAAGCTTTTTGATCTTATTTCTTACGGAAATTTGTAATTTTCTGAACAATTCGAATTATTGTAAAAAATGCATGCCAAGAAAAAAATAATTAATTTAAAAATACGTATTAAAAGCCTGTTTCAGATTATGAATAACTATGAAATTTAAAACCCTACATTTCTGAGTGATCAAGCAAGAAACACATTAAAAATTTTAGTTTTATCATAACCTATCCAATACTCATGTGTTGGTCACATGGATATGAAGTTAAATATTTTGCTACTTAAATTCTACTTTGTAGAATGTCAGTTGAAAAATTACTTGGAACTGATATTTCGATTTATAACCTTTAAGGTGTCAGAAAGAAAAATCTTACTAGTATATATTTCGAATTCAGTTTTTTGCTAAGCTTCGTCAATGATTTCTTACTTATATCTTTGCCGATCAATGGGGCTGTGCATTAAAATTATTCGATTTTCATTCAAATGGTACTATTTACGTGCTTATCGCCTGGGCTTAGCTGTACCGTACTTACAGGTCCCGAGACGCATCATATTATTTTCGTAATTTTGGCTACTTTAATGAGATGTGTGTTCTAATAAAATGGTTTTGCATCTAAAACTTCTACAATTCAAAATCTTAACTCATAAATAAAGCTAAACCTCTAATTTTGAATGTAAGTTAGAATGCAGGCAAGTTAGAATTAAAACTTACTAAAACTTACTATTTACTTGCTTTAAGTATTTTTTAAATATTTTTTATGTAGTATTTAAGTATTTTCTAGATATGAATTTATATTTTTAAGTATATATATATATATATATTTTAAATTATGAATTAGTTCTTTTTGTTTCTTATTGCTTATAGAAATTATGTCTAGTTCCTTTTCAGTTTCTTTTTATGGATATGCATATTCGTGTCAGGGAGGTTTCTGTAGACAAGGTTTTCTAAGATGCATTGGTTTCTAAATTAATTTTTCTGAAAAATTAATTTTAAAAAATTTAATTTTTTTAAAAGTTTAATTTAATACTTGACTTTACATTGCTTATTTCTCAAAAAAAACTTCATTGGTATTTTCCATTTAGAACTTTAGTTTTAATTGCTAATTTCTAAAGGTACCACTTTATTGGTATTTATTTCTTTTTGGACATTCTTCACTCTTTAATTTTGGTTTTGACTTTTACCCTTGCCTGCATGAATGACGAAACACGAATTGAATGATTGGAGAGTTAGGGTTGGAGGCAACTTCCCCTTGATAAGTCTGTCTCTTGCCTGCTCAACAGTCATTCACTTATGCATTTTTTTAAAAAAAAAAATTAGATTAATTTTAATTTGCTAAATTGGTGAATTTGTTTTTATGGTTTGGTTTTGCACTTGATTTGCTTCTGCTATCTGAATTTAAATGATATTGTAGATTAGTTCGAAAATTAAATCTTTTATATGTTTGCGCATTTTTTAATTTTTTAACTTTAAATTTGCTTTTTTGATTTTAACTTTAAATTTGCTTTTTTACGTATATACATGTTTGTTAAAATTTAATTTGTTTAAATCTAATTTTAAATGTATATTTTTCATGTAAATGCTGAACTAGTTGTCAAATATCCTCATATTTTTCATCTTTTGTGCATAAATCATTATTCTTGTCAATTTATTTTTCAAACTTAGGTAAACATTAATTAAAGAAACTAAACAACTTTAAACGGGAAAAATGTAAGTAGATTTTATGAAGCAAACAGTTTAAAATTTTCATTCATAGTCAAAAATTCTAAAGGTGATTTATTTAGAGCAGAATTAATGATATCTGCAAAAATATTCATTGCATAAACCTCATGAAGAAATCTACAAGTTTTCTTTCTGAATAAACATATTAAGAACTTTCTGCACTCACATTTCGGACAAATTCAAAGCAAACAATGTTTTTACACTTACATAATTTTAATATAGAATAATGAATTAAACATTTCAAATGCAATTTCGATATATGTTACGAGACAAATACAGGCATACAAAATCCCACTTGAATGTAACGTGCTTTCAGTTCAATGGAATAAGATAGGGAGGGTGGAAAGTTTCGAGCCTCAAACAATACAAGTAGTTAAAAATTTCGTACGATGTTAGATTGGAGTTTTAAGATACATTGCGTAACGTTTTATGAAATTTTAATATTTTTTTTTCTTTTTTCAGGTAGAAAAATGAATAAAGTATCAGGAAAAAGAGTAATTGACCAAATGTTTAAGCGATGGGTGGCTGACTTCAGAAATGGATACTAAAGCATCCCCATTGATTCACGAGAAAGACGTTCATTGACAGCACCAGCACTTGCAAATATCTACACTGTGCTGCATGTGATCATGGATGGTTATTAAATTACTGTTAACATAGTGTCTGAATGTTTCCTGTCGACCGAAAGTGGGCAACTCCTAATACATTAATAACTGTCCATTAACAAATTATCAACTCATTGGGTCCCCACGAACAAGAAGGACAGCAGGTGTGTGAAATTAATGAAGATCAAGCTTCAAGGGTTGTAGAGCCGTTAGGTTATTTTGAAGCAGGAGACATGAAAAATGAGCAGTGCCCTCGCCGGGACTCGAAATGGGCCTCTCGAACACGCGCCAAGTGTGCTTCCGCTATACCACTCTCCCTTTTAAAGAGCGACTGGGGATTAGGAGACTTAATCGTTAAATCCTAGTTCTGACGAATTATTGTCTACTACCTTTTAGTTCAGGCGCCACTGCAGAGTCACTAGATTATTTCGAAACTGTTGAAACTGAATACATGAAAAACGAGCAATACCCTCGCCGGGACTAGAACCTAGACCTCTCGAATATGCGCCAAGTGTTCTACCGTTACATCACGAAAGCATGCTAGAAGCAAGGAGAAAGTAGGGTGTTACTTCAATGTGGATGAAAAGGTCGATGAGACGGTCGTTTAAATGTGTGAGACTCAGAAAAAGTATCTCCATACGATGACTGTAAACAAACTTCGGCACAGAATACATAAATGCATTAATATAAGGGGTGATTTTGTAAAGAAATCATAATCAGAAACTGCAGTCTAATCATCCCGTTCATTATGAGACTCAAAATATGTCACCCTTTCCTCATATAAAGTAAGCAGCAAGTTTATAAGTTCATGTTCGTAGAAACTAAATTTGATGCTACTAGAAAGGTGAAGTAAATATAAAATTTCAGCTACGTTATATCTAAACAATATCACAATTAACGTGAAGGAAGGGAAAATATATATACATTATAAATTAACATCAACGCAGTCAAGAATTTGGTTCACACGTGACCAACCACATTGCTCATTAAAAGCCAAACAGAAGGTGGGGAAAATTATATGCAAAACATATATGATAATACATGAGGGGGATAATTGAATCGAGGGAAAACGTACGTGATAATCGAACTTCACCAATGTTTCACAGGCACAGCCTTATCACAGTAACTTTACAATTTCGTCACTGTTTTGGTGCAGATTTTCCCGGAGGATGAATCATATGATCTCCAAGCTCTCTCTCCTTACCACCAAACCACTCGAAATGACTTTTCTCTGACCATTACTTTTTAAATTCCTCTTTACAATTTCCTTTACCAAACCTTTTTCGAATTGATATAGCAAGTATACATAACTTATTACTGTACCGATCAGGGCGGCATATGGTTAGTGAAAAAAACTAGGAGCCTCGTCCGTGACTCGGTGCTTTTCCTCAGCGTCCGTTCAATGCCTCTTTCTACTTCTGTCATCTAAACCGCGTATGATTAACAGTTCAGAGAAAAATCAACTGGAGCGGCCTCCAGTACGTAAAGCAAAATCTGATTTTTGGTTCCAGAACAAGTGCGACTACCTTACATCTATTTTTTTGTTAAACAAAACAAAAATGCCTTCAAAGAAAATTGATATAATGCTTCGTTCAGGAGATATGAGAGATAAAATTCTGGTAGCTTCATCTTTGGGCTTAATGACTTATCAAATGAAGGCTAGTCGTGATTTAATATCGGTGATGTTCTCTCGAACCCATTGATTTTGTCTCAGGCATTGCAACTTGGTCATTGAATTCATTCGAGCACATTGATTATTTCAACTCAAGAAAGGAACATATTTTGATTTAGGAAATGTTCCAGCAATACCAAGAATTTTAGAATGTGGTAGACAATCTGTAATCCATCGATACAATACAAATTTTTATGACGTTAAAAGTCGTCTATTCAGCACTTGCTATTAGATAATTAAAATAACATTCGGCGTAATGCTGACCTACGATTACATCTCGGCGTCCTTACATTTTCAGGGTCTGAATTATTATCATGAGACTTTGAAATCATATGCCTACTAAATAATAAAATGTACCGAGGTTATTCTAAGGACATTTGAACTTTCTAACCTCTTAGATACATACCAAAATATTGTTGAGTTTTTCCCTGGGACACAATGTATATGCTGAAGCAATTGTTTCAGAAACATGATGTTTAATTAATTTGATTTTTTAAGGTTGCTATAATTTTAGACCAAAAAATTAATTTTAATTTTTCTCGAAACTTTATGTTCTAGATATTTTTATGACCAGAAATTTTCATCAATATTAAAAAATATATTTACAAGTGATTTTTCCTCTTTCGTAACAGCTTAAAAGTGGTTAAGTAAAATTTTGAACTTTTCTGTTTCTCCATGTTTTTCTGAACAGAAGACATTAACAAGTATTTGGTCAGAAACTACTCAAACTTGAGATCCATTTGAATGTTTTGAAGCGCAAAACATCCAGAGTTAATTACCGATTTTATTGTCTTAGCGGCACCTAATAACTAACGAAGAAATTTTGTATTAAACTGCCAGAAAATGCTTAAATATGTAAAATGTACTTGTATGCATAGATATTTAATCATTTTGCGGTTTTGCAGCTGAGGATGGTGGTTCGGCAAAACCATCGAAACTAGTCCTGTGAAAATTTTGTAAATATAACCCTGATTTTTGTTGTTTGACTTCTGAATTAGTATTTATTCGGCGTGTTATTGTGTCTTAATTGTATGCATAGATTCGAAAATCAAGTAACTAGCACAATAAAACTGATAAATGCGTATATGGAATCAAATATGCTAAATGTAAAGTACAGTACGAATCAACATAAACATCTGTTAGGGTAAGTATCTAGAAATGGCAAAATGAAGCAAACAACAAACAAATGTTAATGCATCTCTTTATTTTTCAAACTGGTATATGAATATAATAGATTTACAAATATTTCTGCATACGAAGAAACACCATCTAGATTTCGCTCGTTTTAAAATCTACTTACACAACTGATATTATAAATGAGTAGTTCGAGTTAAAATATCAAATATTGCATTCTCAAAGCTTTTATTATATACATTAATAAATTCATTTCAGCCTCATAAAATAAAATAAAATAAAATACAACTGAAGAGAATTCTTGGGTGTATAAAGCATGCATAATTTTCTCTTAAGATTTCAATTAATTGTTCTTACAGTTTTAAATTGAAAGAGCCAAATAATGATTAAGCCTTTGAAGTTATGCGGGAGTTGTTAATGCCCGGCCCTTTAATATCGATTGTGTTAAATAGAGGATATCTGTGTATTGGATTTTAAATCATCACGATAGAAAATTACAAGTTGCTTTACTAATTATTGCAAATAGGTATCAAATTTGCATTAACAGAGGACAAGATTCAATTTATAGGATGTTTAATTATAATAACTTCAGTCCTTAGATAAAATTTACAACGTCAGTCTTGGAATAAATGCCGAATTGGAAATAAATGTTTGTATTTAGAATTTTCAAGTATAGGATTTTAGATAAATTTTAATCGAGGTTTATTCTCGGCATTTTAGCAGGGCTATTGATGAAAATTGTATCAACTATGATGTCCAACTGGCTTTAAATGAAATCAGTAAAAGAGATGATCAGAACGTTGTGATTTTTATTGATTCACATGCCACTAATAAAAATAATTTCTTCAATCCTTCTTTCAAACAATGGGTCTGTTCTAAATTATCAGCTTGTGATAAATTCCCTAATAAATAATGGTCACAATGTTACTCTGCAGTGGATCAAAAGTCATTGTTTAATCACGGGTAATGAGTTTGCTGACACTCTGCCCAAGTCTGGATCTGTCCTCCCTCACCCAATCCTCTTCTTTGTTATCACAATGCTAAGAGAATCATTGGAGCCAGATGTGGAGCTCATCTTGTGGACTCAGAATGTAGACTCTGGAAAGAGAACGATTTGGGTTTCCCTAATGGAAAATCCCATTCGTTGCAACCTACCTAGAACTGTTGGTGTCGCTAACATTAGAAATTGGACATGAGTACATCATGTAACACCTACACAGATATGGTTTAGCACACTCTCCTTCTTGTCCATTATTATGTAATACTGACGACATGTACGATAACCATTTGGGTATTTATTTTGTGCTTAATGACGTGGTAACGGCTAATGCTCCTAAAACTATTGTGATGATATTAGTGTTCCTGGACTGCACCGTCACAGACTAAAAGTCTTCACGCCTAGGTTTGGCGTAGGATTAAAAAGAAAAAAACAAATTAAAGTTTTACATTTTATATTACGCCTAAAAAAGGGTTTTTTAACGTATTCTGCATTAACTTTATTTATTAAATATCATGCTCTTCGGACTTAAACTATACGAAATTCAGTTCAACAGCAGTATCACAAAATATATAAAAACAGCATATCTTTAGAATTTCCGATAGAAGACTCGCACGCTGAAAATAAAAGGTTTTTTACCGAAAAGTATCGCCATCACTAGCTTTGAAATTGCTAAGTTTGTTACTCAGAAATTCAAAAAATTTACAAAACATGAAATAGATAATAAAACAAATTCGAAATTAAAAATTTGGTGGTCCAGGTGCCCATATTCATGTGGAGGATTACGTAATTCAAAATTTGATGGCTTTAGGTTCCATTGTTTTTTTCACAGTGCGAGAAACATTCATGCATTCATGCAGATTCTTGATAATTTAAATTCTTTAAATATAATACAGGGAGATAATATGCGGTAGCAACAATTTAAAAAGCGATTCGCTGTTTATACTGAAATGTCACAAAATGCCATTTTGAGACTAATAGCTCTTCTGGGCTACCCCACCTTTGGGCTAAAAACAAACAAAAAAAAAAAAAAAAAAAAAATAGGTACATGTAATCAAACATTCCTCTGCTGAATCTATATTTACTAGCAAAAGAATTCATTACAACACAACGGTAAAACATATTAAAGCATAGTTTTACTTATGTGACTCGAAATGGAAGGTTTATTAATTTTTATGATAATAGATACATTTAATATGACATTTTTATTAATAATCTCTTAATTCTAAAAACGGAATAACATTAATTTTAATTAAGATCAGGATTGAAGCTATCCGTGTAAACTTTTAATTTATTAAATAGTTTCTGCTTTGCAGTAAGATAGGTTTACTTAGAAATAGCAGGGGGAAAATTACTATTATGTGTGTGTGATTATGGCAAAGGATCTGCCTAAGGGGAGGGATGCCTTCGTGGATGACGTTTTAAGGGAAACTGGCTCGTATACACATTACACATGGGCAAAGCCGCGAAAGCGCCCATTCAGCCAGCCCGTTCGCGGGATTCGAACCTCGGACTGAACGACTAGTGTTCAGCGACTTTACTGCTCGCCGCTGGTGGGCCAACTTACTATTGTGAATTTAAGTGCATATTAATACAACAGCCTTAGAAACAGCTGTCATGAATTATACTTATTTCAGGTAAATGTGCTTAAAAAGTTACTTTTGAAATTTATCAAATAAGCCTATTATTTTAAAATAAATACAATTAAATATAATAAACAAGCGCAATATTTAAAAAAAATTGTTTAACTAACTGAATCAATAAAGTTAAAAACCTATTTGCCTAGCGGTGTACGCCAAAGTGATGTCATATCTATTAAAGTTAATTTTTCAAACCGATGTCTTCAAGGCATATCTTACGAAAATCAATTTTAAGCCAATTTTCGTGAGATCTTGAGATTAATTCCTGACTTGCGTAAAGATGCTGGCAAAGTTGCCGTGCTCAGTAAGTTTATACTCACTATAAAAAATAATACGCATGCGTCCCCTACTACAGAAATTGACAAAGACTTTTAATTTCAAAATTTGAGATCCTGTTCGGGGATGCTACACAAATTGAAAACCAAAATATTTGCATTTATGCGTAACAAAAAACGAATACCACTTAAGAGAAAAGTTTCCGATGTTTAACAGTTAAGAATTGCTGTACATCTGATTGAAAAACATAATGATAAATATAACTTTGTCTTCCAAAAATGTAATATTATTCATAGAATCTTTTAGTAACTTTTTGTCGAAAATAATAGGAAGCTTCATTGATGGTAAATAGAGAGATCGTAATATTATTTGCCTCAATTAAGAACAAGAGATATTTCCAGTTTAAGATAGTTCTGTATGATTATTACATATTGTTTCTCAAGTAATAAAGCTGCACAGTAAGCAACGAGAGGTTATGAATTTCATGTTTTATAATGAGTATCAACTTTTAATAACTATAAGGACAATATAAAATGCTAAATTTCATATTTTTATAAAAGTTATCATTGTAAATTAAAAATGTAAAAAAAAAACTCAACATTTTCGTTATTAAACACTTTTTTACTTGAAATGTATGGCTATAACCAAGAGGTGCGAAAATAAATTACTTAGCGGACATGGTGAATAAGGGCTTTGTGGCATAGTAAATTTTTTCTAGTCAAAATAATAACAACTCAATTAATGATAAAACATCAAACAAAGACAAATTGGAAAACTGCGATACATAATGTATATGTTATGAATAATTATGGCCCATACACTACGCTATTTATATTGTGCTATTAAAGATCTAAGATTTCTGACCATAGTTGAAGATTTGAAGATGCATTAAAGCGAAACTGCTGACGGTTCTTTTTTTACTCTGTGTGTAAGAATTATGTTAATTTAATTCACAGTTAACTTTTGAGTTAAACTTCCTTTCCTATCGCTTCTTAATTTCAACTTAACACTTCCGGCCGGAAAGTAGTTTTAAAATAACGTCTGAATGCTAATGAGGATGGTGTGGTGGTATATTTAACTATGGCAAAGTACACTAGTGCTATCTACTAAGGCGAGGGATGCCTTCGTGGAGGACTTTCTATGGGAAACTGGCTCGTATACACGTTTCACATGGGGAAAAACACGAAAATACCCATGCAGCCAGCCCGTTCGCACCTCGACCTCGGACCGAACTACCAGTGTTCAGCGAATTTACCGCTCGACCGCTGGTGGGCCTGCTAATGAGGAAGAGCGGTATTTAACCGCGAAGTTCTACTGTCTTAGTGAGAGAGATACCAGATATTCTGGCTGCACGCGCCCTTCGTTTTAGGCTACTCTCTCGTAATTACTATCTATTATTACGCTCGGCCGTACTTTAGGCCTTTGATAGCTTCGCAGTCATTTAGCGTTAAGAGGCCTACTCTGTTAGAAGTTTGATGGTTTCGTCTATATATCTTTAGTTAAGATTAGTTTGATTCTTAGTCTCCTAAGTTCAAGCCCAAGTGTCAGCTTTATTGTACTACTGCAAGACAGAGTTTTATTAAACTTAGTTGGAATAATAAAGGGTTATTTCACCCTTCTCATTTGTTGTTTCCTACCTCACGAACTCAAGCTATTATTCGCTTAGTAGTTCTTAAGATTCTTCACATTCATCTATAACTTAGAAGTACACAGTGGAGAATCCTACATGCTTTTTTACTTTCTGGTAAGGAAACAGCAGACGAACTAACAATCGCTACTCTCTGCTGCTTAGGGAATCCAGAATATCAAGAAGTTAAACGTTCCAGAAGACACATGTGAATGAAGAGATCCTGGACGACTACATCGACGACAATTCCGGCAAATGGTCTATTTTAGGAGGTGTCAAATTCCGGAAAATGGTCTATTTTAGGAGGTAGTCTTATTCTCGTATCATTGCTGAAACTCACGTGGATGTATCCAATGTGCATAGAATTTAGTCT